CCTATGGAGAAGAAATGAGGCAATGAGGAACACCTTACGTCATACGTACAACATCGATCAAACAAGAATGAGGACCCGCAGAAAATTCTTGAATTTCGCCTTCAAGACTTCACCGCTGTGGTCATTACGTGAAGAAAACTTTAGAACAAAGAAGAACCTACGTGTCTGACTTACCTTCTGCGGCGCTATCTGAGACCGTGGCATGTTCTAAAGAGACAGGACTTCTCGACGATGTGCCAAGATGATCGCTGGAACCATGGTTGGAGCTTCTGGAGCTCTGAGATCCATGGTAAGCAGCGCGACAAGGTTCTCTCGGGATCCGTTTGTTTTCCGCCATCATTTAAAACATAAAGAAACAAAAATCATGATAAGGTTTATCACAAACGCTTTGTAAAAAAAAAAAGGAGACGATAGTTTCTGACACCAGCTGGGTGAAATATTTCTGTCAGTTCAAGGAAGTACAAGATGTCAACAAACTAGGTCGCCATGTTATTTATATCCCGCAGCTAAAATACCACCATAAGCAGACGTGATATCACAGAAAGATGGAGAAAATTTTATTCTTCAACATAGTCAGAATTATTGACTTTATTAATTGTTTCTCTTATATTGTTTGCCAAAACATAATTGCGTATAAAAGTTTTATACGTAAAATTTTATACGTAAACCTGTTGGTGCGGCTGGGGGAAATGACACATAATAATATATTATCATGCACTTATACTTTGTTAATATGTGTTAATATTGTTTGTTTAACACACTATATGGGGTTTTATTGAGGTTGTCTACGTCAGTGTCATTTTTTGTATGTCATTCGTTGAGAAGAAATTAAGAAAAGATCTGAACATCTCAGGGATTATTTTATCATGTCTCGAACGATGTGAAACCTGTTGCCGAAAAATACCTCTGCATATGTTTGTTCGATGAAGGTTCACTGAGTACACTATTATCAGGCGCCATGCCGATACTGTACTTCTTCCTCTTGGTTTGCACTGCACTTTCACGTTAATATTCTCCCTAGAAGCAGTAGCTGGGCTAAGGGTGGTGGGGGAAAGTGCAGGAAGAAGGCAAAGAGGCAAATACCTTGATGGTTTAGCAATGTAGATGATGGCAAGACAATAGCACTGACCTGATCCATGATGCTAGTGATCGTGTGAGTTGGCGAAAGGGTAGGGCACTCGGTGATGATAAGGTGTCATCATCATCCAACTGTTGACCGTAAGACATTACATAAGAATCGCATTCTAGTCTTCTACCGAGTTATATCGTGTGCAATCGTTTAATGTGTGGAATCCAGCCCACAACCGCTGGCCGCTCTCGATATTCTTCATTCTAGAATTGCCGGTAACCTTTTAGTGTGATCATTTCAGTAATATAGATGGTATTCCTACTTATCGCCATTGTGTATCCCCCCCCCCCCCCACCTCTACCACTGTTTCTTCTTCTTCTTTTTTTATTTCTTCTTCTTCTTTTTTTTATTTCTTCTTCTTCTTCTTCTTCTTCTTCTTCTTCTTCTTCTTCTTCTTCTTCTTCTTCTTCTTCTTCTTCTTCTTCTTCTTCTTCTAGCTACATCATCACACAAATGAGGGGGTGCAGGAAAAGCATTTGTGCTCTGTCTAATGAGCTATTCAAGTTGTCTTTATGGAACCGCTGTTTTGATTCCGTGGCGCCATCTTCTCCTCCTTTTGCGCTGTGTTTATTACATATATTCAGCATCTGAAGTAGTTTGTATCAGGATATTCTCGTCAGATGGCCACACGATTTCATTTGTTGCTCTGCAGTGAATTTATTAGTTCCAATTCTAGTCTTCTTCTAACTACTATATTTTCTTTGTTATTTATCTGGGGCGGGAAGAGGTCTATGGCTAGGTGATTATGCCATTTGCTTCCCGCTCTGGAGGTCGTAGACTCGTTTCACGGACTGCATCGTTCTATTCACTGATGCAGTACTTACGGAGATCTATCGGGATCGTCGCTGGAGCCATGGGGTTAGTGCTTTGTTTGCGCTGTTGGCAGAAAACTAGCTGCTCTGTGAGAAAGACTGAGTCCTAAATGACAAATCCCGTTAAGATGAAGCCGATTCTCTCTATTGTAATGTTATATCTCCTTAATATCCGAGTTTAAGTTGAACATGACCATATTGAAATTACCCCAAACAATTGATATAATTTTGATTAGTTCTACAATGGCTTTCCTATTTCAGCAAAAGACCCACGACAAGATTCATCAAGCAAATATCTTCTTCTCCACTTCCTCTTACAACACTTCAGGTGTCGACAGATGTGTAATGTTCTGCTGCTTGCTAATTCTAACCGCCACGGCCATAGACAGACCGTACTGGTGTAGAGTTTCTCTGATGTTATCGTTCCATCTAGCTCTTGGACTATCTCGTGATGAGGAAAGGGCCCAGTGCACTGAAGGTGGTGGTATCAGCGGACATGGAACAGAGAATGCTCTACACACTCTACCAGCAACTGATTATTTCGTGGATGGAGTATGGTTTGGGCATGCTCACGTCATCTTACAGCCGAAAAGAGAAGCTGGAACGCATGCCAAATGAAGCCAAAGTCATTTTGGAGTGTATGCGTGACATGTCATTTGTATGCATGCGGCACAAACTTGCATTGCCGTCCCTATATGAGAGATGAAATGTTTTCTTCTTCATCTTAAAGTCCATGCAGTGGGGGTGTTGGTAGTCATGTTATCCACAACCTTCTGCCTCGTGTACTTTCAGTCACCTCTGACACTGATGATCCTCCATGCCATGATGTCAAACTGTCAAGCGTCAGAGGTCACTTTCTATGTGAGCCATTGGGGAACAACAAGGGGTGTCGGCTAAAAAGATGTAGCTCCTGGATGGCACATGCAGAAGTCACGATCAAAACTGTTTGTGCTACTGACAAGACAGCGTGTGGTGAAGTATGGGTTACAGTGCCACCTAACAAAACAGAGTTGCACAAAGTGATAGCTACCTTGGACCGATGGTGCCGGGAGTGAATATCCGATGAAACAGAAGTATCAGTGCAAGAGCTAGCCATTAAAAGTTCACGCCCAGGAGACAGCTTTATAATAAGGCTATTATAGCAGGCCCTTGCCATGTGTCACGCACGTTCCATTGGTAATCTGGTAATCTTAGTTTCAGCTTCATAGCAAACGGGTCACCCCACAGTTGCTCCGCTCCTGTGCCAACGAAAAACAAACGCAGCTAACACCATTGCTATGATCGAGCAGTATTTGTCTTATTTAATCGTACGCTTCTCTACCCCCGCGTTCACTACCAGGTGGACTGAGCTTCAGGTTGAGAGAGCAATGTGGTGTCGATGTACAAAATTGGCCGCGGGCCTCTAATGAATAGCCCTGGTCTAGTGGTTAAACCGGATGAAACAATCGTTGAAGGAGTGCCACCTACTAAAGATCGCTACACTCCTGCCGTGCATGCTCCCGCCATGGAGTTCTACTTCTTCTTCTTTTCAACCAACATCTTTGTGGCATCACTAACAAAACCTCCAGACCACAATTCACTAATCTCAACAGTGCCAACCTTTATGGGTCCTTGAACATTCAGATCGCAACCATCAGATCCTGCTCGTCTGATGATAGACATAATAGGACGCTGGTAAACCGTCTTGTTTGTCTTCTTGATGTCAATACGTGCCCCCCCCCCCATACCCTTACATCCCCCTTCACCGATATGTGCGTGCATTATGTTTGTGTGAATTTGTGATCTTCTCTACTCACTGTGGGCATTCTCTGTATCCCGATCCGGCATAATGCGTAACCATATAAGAATGTGACGTTGTTTGAATCTGTGCATACACTGGAAACCACTAAGAACCCCCCCCCTCCCTTTTTTTTCTCTCTCTCTCTCTCCCCCCCCCCCCACCCCCCCTCCCCCCATCTCTCTCTCTCTCTCTTTCTAATTAACCATCCAGAATGGGCAGAATGTTAGACAGGCCTGCGCGCCCCATTCTTAACCCTTTGAAAATAAAATGTATTCGTTCATTCATTCATTCATTCATTCATCTATCCATCCCAGTTAATCTTGTTTGTACTATCCCATATGAAACAGATTCAGGATTGCATTTTGAACACATCCATCTGTAATTCACCATAGAGAATGTCTTTAGGGACTTGATCATCGTCCATTCTCTGGGTGACCAAGCCACCCTCACCTTCGTAGACAAAGCATTGAAAAAATCTTTCATATGTCTCAGAAATTAAAATTAAAAAAAAAAAAACACACATAGAACAGACAATACAATAAATTTCTCTTCTTCTTCTTAAGCATTCCGAGCGCTTAATGTTCATTGTTTCAGATATTGCAGATATCTCTCTGGTTGACCTTCTCTTTCCAGTTGGTAACATCAAGGGTTAATGGGTCTGTCTGGATATTATCTCTTCATAGTCTTCTTCGTGGTCTACGACCATTCAGCTCCCTTGCGTACACAGTTTTTTTTTTTTTTTTTACCTATTTGTCATTTGAAATTCTCTCAATAAACCCCCCTTCTATATTGTTCTCGTGGACCTGTTCACGTTTCCTGGCCCATCTACACAATTTCTCAGTCTGCAATAGGTCAGAAGGGTATCACGTTGTACTGTTGTTTTCAAAAAGAGTATATCGTGTGCCCTAGGCTGAGGCTGTTGGTAGGGGGTTTGGGTTAGGGCGAGTTATACATGTTCTGGGGTCGTTGAAAGCTGTGTCGTCGTGTAGTATAGAATACGTGACACCGGCACTGATGTAGTTTGAGGGACACTTCTCCGATGTAGAAGAGTCTAAGAAAGTATGAATGAAAAGTCAGGCAGTGGGTAGATGGGCTGAGTAACGTGAACAGGACCGTTCTCGCATTTCGGTTTATTTTGGTGACCTGTGTACAGGCACTGATTGTATTCCTACGCATGGAGGAAGTGGACATCTTGTTGATAGTTCCCGGTGTAATCATCACCAGTGGGTGTCACACAAGTTGGAACATTTTCTTTTCTTCTCAAACAATCTCCTGAACCATGGATGAGACGTACGATGTCATCGTTATGGGCACTGGGCTCAAGGTAATCTTTACGTTCATCTTGTCATCGGAGAGAATCGCCAGGTTTACTTGAATTAGTTGAATGACGGTGATGAGAAATTTATGATGGCATTCCCCATTCACTGCTATTTTTTTCGCCAACCCCTTCATTTCACTGATTGTCTTATGATGATTTTTTTTTAAAATTAACTTTCTGTATAGCAATACTTTCGAAATCAGAAATAAAGAGGCTTTTTTTTTAAAATTTAAGGACTTCACTAAAAAGCCAGCATTATTATATATGGCGTGTATATATGGAAAATTGTACATTTCAAGTGAATTATGTCAGTTGTCACTTGCTGACAAACGCATCACTGGGACGGTATTTGAGGAAATAATTCTACTTCCTTTGATCACTGGGCTGAAGTATTTTACCAGCGAGATGCTTAAAACCCATTGACCAGTATCAGTAAGCTAACTTGCTGTTCTTTACTCTTAGCCAGGCTCTGTCTCATTGTGATACTTTTTAAATTTAAACCTAAAATCCCATTCTAAATCTGCACTGTACAATTTACACATCTTTATTAATATTGTATGGTCCTGTAATACACCTGGCGTTGTCCAAGGTCACTTGCAATTGATTATTTCACTCAGTAAATCTATACATACACTCTACCAACAGATTACACAGCACCAGGACACAAAATTACCAGTATATCGATGTAATCTACTGTCAGTATTTTCCTAAGGGTTATCAGTCTCGACAGTTCAGCCAGGAATAATTTAGTTGCATATTTATAGAAATGTGGCCTCTTCAGTCATTTTGAAATCAAATATCTTCCATGAAAATCCTGTCTCTTCTTCTCTGTCCTCTCTCTCTCTCTCTCTCTCTCTCTCTCTCTCTCTCTCTCTCTCTCTCTCTCTCTCTCTCTCTCTCTCTCTCTCTCTCTCTCTCAGTGTCTGTCTTTCAGCTTACTGTAGTCAGTTGAAAGTGCTGCATCTGTTTTTCCACTTAAATAAGTGCTATTTTAGTATACATTTAATGGTTCAGTCGCTGAGCTTTGATAATCAGCCTGTTTTGTTGTATGCGTGTGTAAAAAAAATGTATTTATGGTGAAGCATGTCCTTGGCTTCATGAGAGGTACAGTTTTGCAGTATGTCTTTATTGCAGACAAAGACAAGGTATCTTGTCACATGATCTTACTCACCCCAAATACAAGGACAGTGTATCTTGTCAAGAGTATTCTTCATTCGAGAAATCAGCTTTACAAAAGAGATGTGGTTCTTTGAGAAGAATCATTGATTGATCTTTGATGAATGAGTTAGAAGTACAGTCACTGTCACAGACTCTGCAAGTGTAGACATTGTTTAGTTCAGGAACCCAGGTTTTTTTAATATTTGTTTACATGACTCATAAATGGAGTAAAGAAAAATAACAGTGTAGCTGAGAAGAAGAAGCCTATCAGGCATGTCCCAGAAAAAGAAATATGGGGGGGGGGGGGGGGGGGGGGGGGGGGGGTGAATGAATGGTCAGCCTCATCCACCAGCAAATTTTGGCCACAAAATCCAACTTATTATGATCAAGTTTGCTGAAATAGAATTTCTTTTTTATTCCACCCAAAAATAAAAGCACCAAAAAAGCTAACCGACCAAGATTACATTTTTAGAATTAGTATGAGGACTCCCCTGTGTGGGTTCCGGGGCCCCATTGTGGGGAAAACAAGAATAGACCCACTGCCTCCCCAAAAGCATGTCGTAAGAGTCGACTAATTGGGGAGCTTCCTTTGAAGTCGGAGTGCATCTGCTGGAGAGGCAAGGAACCAACAGTCTGTATTCAAGAGAATGAGATCTGTAAAACTGATGCACACGCAACACTCAGGTTCTCTAGCAGGACTGCAGTTCAGTAGACGAGCAACCAGAACCTGCTGCCAGAGTTTACAGCTGGTGAACGCGAAGAAGAAGAAGTATGTGGACTAAATTGCCATAGAACGATTTCCATAATAAAATTGGCTAAGAAAAAGAACAATACTGACATCCTAAAAGATCAGAACATCAATGAAGATTGGCTGGTAAACAGCATCTTGTCTTGAATACTGAAATATTTTGGCTATTCAAGCGCCACAATGGATTGGAAAGAATAATAAAAAGGAGGCATGGTGCCATGAAAGAGGGGCAGGAGCAGACCAGTTAAAAGATGGGCACAAGTATTAAATGACACCTTGGGTAGGAAAGCTCACGAGGCGGGAATTCTAGTGCGACCCCGAGTTTCTTTCGGGCAGGCTATGATGAGAGAGACATTCTGCCAAGGACCTCCTAAATGATGAGGATAAATAATATCTGAAGGTATGGAAAAAGTTGCAGAAGACGATAAAGGAGTATAGAAAGGTTTTGCATCACTTGATTGAAGATAAGAGTGAGCTGCATGCAGTTCAATGGATAAGGGGATTTAATTTCAGTCTGTTGAGGGCTTAAGTGAGGGTTAAAGGGCAGAAGAAGTGTATTTTGGGATCATTGCTGGTGGTGTGTCGTTGGTACTGTTTACAGATGCACCTCAAAGATCTGTGAGATGTCACTGGAACACTAATGGAAGCATCCTTATGAAATTAGGATCATTTAAAAACTGTAACTGTAAAGACAGAACAACAAACCTGCCATTGCAGCCTGTATTGACCACTTGTATGGGGGATGGTGAAATCTTTGAGCCAGAAGATTTAGGGCTGCTTGGCTAATGTTTATTTTTGCCCCCCTTCCTGACCAAAAAAAACATAAATTGAATGACCGTACTGAGGATTCTAACCTGGGTCTCTTTCATGAGAGCCCTGCATCTTTAACCATTTGGCCTGGAGTGCAGTCAGTGCCTCAAATTTATCTTCAAGTACCTTGCTGACTGAAGCTTCTCCATATCATGCTGTCTCTAACAGCTTGTCTCAGTTTGTGTGCTCACACCTTTAAAACAAATATTTTCTTATTGTCTTCTTCTATCTCCCCGTGTGGGTTCTGGTTCCCCAGTATGGAGAAAACAAGAAAAGACCTGCTGCCTCCCCAACAAGCATTTCATAAGAGTCAACTAACTTTGCACTTCCTTCCAAGTCAGGGTGCTTCTGCACGAGCAGCAAGGAACAACCAACTGCGCACAAATAAGCCAGTAAAATGGATGCACACGCAAAACTCGGGCCCTGGCACAAAGCCAGAGTCTAAACAGACAAACAACCAGGACTTTCCGCCGGAGCTTACAGCCGGTGAACAAAGAAGGAGAAGAAGGAGTCTTTATCTCAGTAAATCTTTCAAGTTAAGAATCGGTATCTCCCCACTCAGGACTTCTCCATAAGTAATTTTTTCCCATTCGTCGGCAACCACACAGTAATTCAAATTCTCTGCTACCGATAGCAGTTATATATCCCTTTGCATTTCCCCTGAGTGTACAGCAGATCTGTTCAACTGAGTTTATTTAGGGGCCAAAATGTTGAAAATGGGAATTGTTACAGGGCAGAGGTTTAAGCCCCAGCGAAGAAAAGTCGTTGGGAAAATAATATATTGTCAATGATCGGCAGCCGCTTGCTATGTTTCTGTGGGCCACATTCCACCGACAGACTGCCAGTTGAATAGAATGTCAGTCAGATCACCTGGTTTATTCATTGTTGTGCGATTCTCTCCAGACCATATTTTTTTTTTTGTTGCACTTCTGCACTGTTAATTTACTCCCATATTATCTTGACTGCATCTGGCTCATCATGCATTCTTGGCTTGACCACATCTGGCTTGTCATGATCAGTGGCTTGACCACATCATGCTTGTCATACATCACTGGGCCACCCAGTGGTGCAGAACCAGCCTTTTGGTTCCGAGCACACCTGCAGGCCCCAGGGAAAAGATCTAAAGGACATTAATTACCCCCTACCCGGGGCCTTTTTTCAGTTGTCACAGTATGTTCTTCTCATTCATAATGTGACCCAGTAATGATGGCTGCCTTTTTCTGATGTTTGTGATGAAATAAATGTGATTTATTTACTGAGGGTTTATAATATTGAATCTCTGCTTTTTGGATTTTTTTAAAATGACCTAGGCTGCCAGGTTGACCCAGCCTAAAACAGGTACAAGGAAATCCTGGAAAATAAAGGTGGCTGAAGAGCTAATCACCACCTTTTCTCTGAGGGCAGATCTACACAAAAAAAATAGCACCACATTCTCAGTATGACTATAGTTATAAATTTACTTTTGATATACAGAAATTCCTGTGTGGGTTCCGTGGCCCCATTGTTGGAGGTGGGGGTGGGAGGGGAAGATAAATAGGCCCACTCCCTTCCTAACAAGCTTGTTGTAATCAGGACTTCCATCAAATGTTGTGTGCATATGGTCTGCATATTTAATAAGTCACATCAGTAAAGCGGATGTGCACACAAAACTCAATTTCTGGAGCAAAACTTTGGTCCAGAGTTTACAGCCAGTGAATGCTGAGAACCAATTCTGGATTACATACAAAGACAGCAAGTGAAATGGTTTGCCCACTTAGAGAGAATGCCTTGTGACACCATACCATACAAAGCATACATGGAAAGAGAAGAAAGACGTAGAGCACGGGGTAGACCAAGAACAAGATGGAAGGATAACATCAGAGAAACTCTACAACAGCACGATGTGCCTATGGTCGAGGCAGCCAGAAGAGCTAGAAACAGAACCTTATGTCTCCCTCGACACCCACAGCGGTAAAAGAGGAAGTGAAGAAGAAGAAGAATGCTAAGAAGAAGAAGAAGAAAACGATATACAGAAAGAATATGTAGCTGCAGTGTTGCATTCAGATGTGATTGTCCATTGTTTGATCATTGGATGGTTAGTGCAACCAGAATCAGCCATGTTATCTTCTATTTTTATGAATTCAGGAATGCATCCTCAGTGGGATGCTGTCTGTGACTGGGAAGAAGGTTCTCCATGTGGACAGAAATACTTACTATGGAGGGGAAAGTGCTTCACTTACTCCTTTAGATCAGGTAAGGGTGACATTAGCAGTGCTGGGCTCGGCACTGGTAAATGATTTTGTGTGAAGCTTGTGCTGTTTATAACACCTGTAGAAGTATCCTTATGTAATGATAATCATTTGTAAATTGTAACTTCACAGTCAGTGTATAGTAATGGATGTGCAGAAATGTCAGTCAGTTGGGTAACCTTGAAGCCACAGAAATGTTAGATGTGAGAATTTCCTTCACAAGTGCAGTCTGCCGACAAAAACTGGCTGTATTTACCACTTTTGTCAGGGCAGGTGCGGGGGATGTTTTGAGGATTTAGGGCTGCATGGCTAGTGCCACAGACTTTGCAGGTCAACAAAGAATCAAAATGGTTTGGTCATCTGGTCAGATTGAACAAAATTAGCCAGCAACTAGAGTGTGCTACTTGTACTACTGTTAGTAGTAGCTCCGGAAAGGTGACAGTCATGTCCTTCTTAGGGCATTTCACCACCATTTGGCTAGGTCTGGCACTCAGCTCTCTCCTGTTGTCTTCCACCCCCCCCCCCCCCCCCCCCCCCCCCCCCCCAGGCAACAGCTTTGACAGGTTGGCTAAACCAGGATAAGGTATCCAACCTGGTTCTAAACCACTCGGTGATTGGGATATGCCTACCCTGCATGCAAAGACTGCACTTGGCAGATTGTGAGGATGAAACCTCGTGGTTCAACAGACAAAAAGGGGATTAGATTACCAGCATGCTCTGGGGAGAGCTTCGAGCAAGGCAGGGCACGTAAGACTTGGTCATCCACTGCACCTAGCTCCATTTCCAATCGTCTCGACATTGTCTTGCCATTGGATCAAGATGGACACAGGCAAGAGAGAGTGACACACATATATATATGTGTGTGTGTGTAAATATGCACACACATACACACACACAGAGATTATATATATATATAAAATAAACATGGAAAGTTTCCTGCACAACTTCATTTATATATAAGAGAAATGCTTCCATTCAAGCTTAGTATTACTCTCTGCTGTTTTTAGTGTGGCTTTCATGTAGGCAGTAGTTATAGAATACTTAATATGAAAATATTCTGTTGCTGCCAGGTTTTCCAGCACTTTGGCAGACCACCTGTTGGTGACAAGTATGGCAGAGGTCGAGACTGGAATGTTGATCTCATCCCAAAGTTCCTGATGGCTAATGGTAAAGTTGATTGTCTGGTAGCTGGTAATATTGGTTGTATAGAAAATTTGGTTGTGTGGTAGCTGGTAATGTTGGTCATGTGAACAGTGTGACAGCAGTGACTGGTGTAATATTGATTATCTAAAACTAATGGACATTGTCAGTGCTGATTTATCCCCGTGTGGGTTCCGGGGCCCTGTTATAGGGAAAACAAGAATAGACCCACTGCCTACCCAAAAGCATGTCGTAAGAGTCGACTGAGAGCTTACCTTCAAAGTTGGAGTGCATCTGCCTGAGAGGCAAGGAACCAGCAGTCTGCATACAAATGATCTGGAAAACGGATGCACACGCAGCACTCAGGTTCTGGAACAGGACTGCAGCCCAGAAGTGAACAGCCAGAACTTTCCGCCAGAGTTTACAGCTGGTAAACGCGAAGAAGAAGTACTGATTGAATTAAAGATGTTAAACCATTGAGAATACTGGTTATGTCAAACATGTTAGGTCGACCTGAGAGCCAAGGTCAGTTTTCGGGGAAAAAATTACTTCCTGCTGATTTGAACCTAATACTTATGGGCAGGCAGGTTAGAGTCTGGCCACTATGCTAGATCAAAGCCACAATGATAGATAATGTCCACAGTGCTAGATAATAGCCACAGAGCTAGATAATAGCCACAGTGCTAGATAATAGCCACAGTGCTAGATAATAGCCACAGTGCTAGATAATAGCCACAGTGCTAGATAATAGCCACAGTGCTAGATAATAGCCACAGTGCTAGATAATAGCCACAATGCTAGATATCAGTCGATCAGTTTGTCATCTCCTTGCTGCTACCTAAATTTTCACTATACCATCCTGAGGTTTTAAAATCTCAGTCTGAACGACAGACCTCCAACAACACAGATTTCAGATACCATTGTCAACCATAGAAAAGGTTATAATTAGGGCATCTGTAATGGCTACACCAGCCAGCTGTAACCTGCAGTCTTGTTTATTAGATAAGGACTTTGAATCCATTTTTATGTCTTTACACAACGGCAGTTTTTCTTTGATTTGCATTTCTGTGCTTAATTTAAATAAATACAAGAAAGTTGATTCAGCTTGTTTTTGGCTGGGTCACACTTAGAAATTGGAGGATGGTCGAGTTTCTGAGGGTATCCTTTATGGTGAAATACAGATGGGTAGAAGGTGTAAAGGTCTGCCTCTACTACAATGTAAAGATGTGTGTAGGCGGATACATGTATTGAGGTAGATTCCTGAGAGCAGAATACCAACAACTGTTTTACATGGGGGGGGGGGGGGGGGGAATTCAGTAATGAAGTGGGAATATGGAGAAAAAAAAAATGATTGCAGAAGTTGAGCTATGAGCATCTGAGACGAAGCATATGCAGTGCATGTGATGGCAAGAATGGTCATGAAATCCAGTACTCTGTGGAATACTTTTCTTAATACAGGCAGGTCTTTCTAGTCACACTCACCATTGCCATGGGTGGTGATTGCTATACCCCCCTGTAGCACATTATAACACTTTTGTCTGGAAAGACAAAAAGGTGCCAAGGTGTTACCTTGTTTACAAAAGTACTTTTTTACGTTCACATAAAACTCTCTTGCTTTTTTAATGAAGAAGATCTAGCAGAGGGGTTAGAATGCTGTGTTCTCATTTTCGAGACCTAGGTTTGAATCCTCAATAAGGTGATGGCATTTTAGTTGTCTGTCCTGGTTAAAATAAATTCCCAGACTACGTAGTTCATGGAGACCTCACCAGCCTTGCGGCCTTAAATCCTCTAGTTTAAAAAAACAAACCTTTGCCTTACACTATCCTGAAATCATAAAACAGTAAAAGAACCTTTGTTTTAATTACAGCTGATTCTGTAGCAATTTGTTTTACCTACAGGCCAACTGGTGAAGTTGCTCATTCATACTGGGGTCACCCGTTACCTGGAGTTCAAATCTGTGGATGGCAGTTATGTGTACAAGGGAGGCAAAATCTACAAGGTGCCTGCTGATGAGAAGGAGGCTCTGCAGTCATGTAAGACACCTTTTAGATGTGTAATGCTGTCTGCAGTCATGTAAGACACTATTCTAGATATGTAATATTGGTCTGTAGTCATGTAGAACCCTGTTCTAGATGTGTAATGTTGCTCTGCAGTGATGTAAGACCTTGTTCTGGTTGTGTAATGTTGCTCTGCAGTCATGTAAGACCTTGTTCTGGTTGTGTAATGTTGCTCTGCAGTCATGTAAGACCTTGTTCTGGTTGTGTAATGTTGCTTTGCTGTTGTGTAAGATCTAGTTCTAGATTACAGCGTTATTCTGCTTTTATGTAAGACCCTGTTCTAGATGTCAGATAGTGTCCTCTGCTTCCGCCACCCAGAACCAACTTCATTTTAAATGCTTACCTTTGTTTTCTCTCTCTCTCTCTCTCTTTCTCTCTCCCTCCCTCACTCTCTCTCTCTCTCACACTCACTCAACCACATACGTTACTTACAGAGAGAGAGAGAGAAAGAGATACCTTGCTACACATTGTCTCGTACATTTTGTCACACAATATAGCACAACACCATCAGACAGTGTTTGGCAAGCATCTTGTCACACAATGTAGCATGTACCTAGTCACACACACAGTGTCTTATTGTAATAATAATTGCTCTTTCCAGCTTTAATGGGCATCTTTGAGAAGCGGCGCTTCAAGAACTTCCTTCAGTTTGTGCAGGACTATGAAGTGGATGATCCCAAAACCTGGAAAGGAGTTGACCCCACAATGATCTCAAAACAGCTGTATGAGAAGTTTGGGCTTGACGCCAACACTCAAGACTTCACAGGACATGCCCTTGCGCTGTTCAGAAATGACAAGTAGGTGGAGTTGTTGTTTTGTCCTTGAAGAATTCTTTCCTGTCCAGTGTGTTTGCACATTTTCATAGTAAAGTATTGTATCTCCTTGGTAGAATTGTCTTGTTTAATTGGAAGAATTATGGGGAAATGTTTCATCAATCTTGAGTTGAATTGAATTGTTATTGGAGGAATTAGGGTGAAGTTCCTGTCACTGATTTTGTCTTATTGAAAGAATTTGGGTGTAATGTTTCACAGTTCGTAAGCTAATTTGTCTTATTGAAGGAATTAGGATGAAGTATTTCACAGATCTTGAGTTGTCTTATTAGGTGAATTGGGGTGTAGTGTTTCACAGATCTTGAGTTGAGTTGTCTTATTAGATGAATTGGGGTGTAGTGTTTCACAGATCTTGAGTTGTCTTATTAGGTGTTTCACAGCCCTCCATGTTCTCCTCATATAATTCGTTCTGTCTCATATTCTTTTTGTGAAATATATTATGGTCTTGCTCCGCTTCTTAACAAGCTTGTTGTAAATTGCAACACTATGCAATACTGGCATCTGTTTTATGCAATTATTTTTTTGCTGTTTTAATGCTACTGTCATTGACACTTTGTTATGAGTACCGTCAAATTGTTTCTAAGTTAAAAGCCCTCATGTAACCGACAAATATTATGATATTACGCAGGTATTAACAGATTATTTTTGCAGTGTCACATCTAACAGATGAGTGTTGCAGGTAGTAACAGGTGAATATTACAATGTTGCAGGTACATGTTGGAGCCCTGTGTTGAGCTAATCAAGAGGTGCCGACTGTACAGTGAATCGTTAGCTAGATATGGCAAATCTCCGTATCTGTACCCCCTGTATGGTCTCGGGGAACTACCCCAGGGCTTTGCCAGGTAAGTGTTTTTCTTCTGGTTACAAATCTCTTCAGGTGTATTCAAGTTGCCAGTAAAGGACCTTTTCCTAAGCCGTTAGGTGTTTTGGACATACAGTGGTAGACATATTTTATAGACCGATTGGCACTCGGTGGGTGAGGTCGTCAGAATCTCGCTGGCTGACTTTACTTCCCAGGACTTTTCTTTGTACCCATTATAAGCTGTGTTGAACTGGGAACCACGGTCATTTTTGCTTTAATCCAGCTCCATGCGGATTTGAACCCACAACCATAGGGCCCGTGGTGAGGGTCTAGCCACTACACTATGGCGGCTTCCCCTAGTTACAGGTTACTATCTCTTAATAAGCTATCTTTTTTTTGTTACAAATCAGTTTTAATTACAAGTGCCTTTCTGCTAGTTAAAAATGTTTTCTCTTTAGTTACATGTGTCTTTCTCTAACTTACAGGCATCTTTCTATAAATTACAAGTTTCTTTCTCTAGTAACAAGAGTTTTTGTTACAATCATGTTTCTCCTAGTTTTTGCTTGCTACAGCTGTCTATTTACTCTTAAGTTACAGCTGTCATTTGAATTTCTAGGAACAACTACTATGTTGAAGATGCAGTAATAGATGAAACGTAAGATTTAAGATGGATTCTATTGTAGTTTCAGCCAAGAGGGATGTTTGAGAGGTCAGATCCGAAAATGTTTACAAACTGCTGGGTAACTGGAATAATCTTATGCAGGTTGCTAAAGGAGAAGGTGCATATCTGGGTTAGCCTAGAGCAGGGCTATTCAACTAAGTCACTCAGAGGCCAACATTTTAAAAATAGGGATCATAGCGGACCAGAGACACCAGCCTCAGTATAGAAAGATAATTAATACCATTCAGCTGACAATGCTTGGCAGGCCACTTGCTAGGACTCTGTGGGCCACATGTGGCCTACTGACCATCAGTTAAATAACCCTGGCCTAGAGTACTACAATATTCTTTAATTAAACAAAAAATGTTCGTTTGATATATGTAGTTTTCTCCAGTGACTTTATTGTAATTACAGCCTTTTTCTAGATACAAGTGACTTTCACCTAGTTCAGCTGCTTTGTCTTAGATTTGGGTCATCTGGGTAAAGATTGGATATTGTGGCATTCAGGACAAGCCCATATTAGTCGTGTCTCCCTCGTCAACAACCAGTGAAGAGTCTCCATATTGACGAACCCCTTATCGTTTGGTTAACTACTAGTCTTGTCATCCCCCGAGTGGTGCCTAAAGTCTGCAGACACTTCCTAAGAAGTTTCTCCTAGAAGCAGTTGCTTTCTTTTGCATATAGGTATTTGCATTTTCCTAGTTAAAACTGCCATTGGTTGGGGCATGTGGAGAGAATGGCAGACAACACATATCAGGAACTGCATACACACACAAAATGACTGCAGACTATGAGACAGACCAACAAGACTGGAGAGAGAATATACAGGCAGACCTACAAATACTCGGAGTCACCATCTGGAAAGAAAAGAAAAAAGTAACAAAGATAACTGGTGATATCTGCATCAGCGAAGCTCAAGAGGGAGGAATACTGAAGAAGAAGAAGAAAACTATATTTCAGCAAGTGCTTAGGGGTATTATTATTACTTAAACGTATTGTCGGTGGCTTAGGTGTTGCAAACACACTTCGGAATGCCGGGGTGCCAGGTCAAATCCCAGCAGTAGGCCTTGCGCCCTGCATTGGTTTTCGACAGTGGTATCGAGAAGCCGACCGTCCAGAAAGCAACGACAAACTACTGGACATTTATTTGCCTCGAAAAACCACAACAGCCAAAAAAAATGCTGGGGTTGGTTCTGCAACGTCCTGTAAAGGATACACAACTACCATTTATTTGCCTCGAAAAACCACAACAGCCAAAAAAAAATGCCGGGGTTGGTTCTGCAACGTCCTTTAAAGGATACACAACTAAATTTTTAAAGTGTTGTGTCCCGTTTTCTGTTTGTTTACATAGATTGAGTGCCATCTATGGTGGAACCTACATGTTGGACAAACCAGTGGATAAGATTGTGATGCAGGATGGCCATGTGGTGGGTGTGTCTGATGGCAAGGACACAGCCAAGTGTAGCATTGTGGTCTGTGATCCTTCCTATGCTCCTGATCGGCGCAAGAAAGTTGGACAGGTGGGTGGTTGATACTTCTGTTTGTTTGTAGTCTTTCTTGCTGTTGTATCTCTTTTGATTTTCTTTGTGGTAATACAATTTTCTAGTTTTTTCTTGTGGTGGTACAACCTTTTTTTTTTTTACTGTTTTCTCTGAGGTGATACAACTTTCTACTGTTTTCTTTATTGTGATACAAGTTTCAACCCTTTTTTTTGGGTGTGATGATGCAAATTTCTACTGTTTTTCTTCTTTGTGGTGATACAATTTTTTATTGTTTCTCTTTGTGGTGATACAACTTTCTACCATTTTTCAATGTGGTGATACAACTTCTACTGTTTTTCTTTTGTGGTGATACAACTTTCTACTGTTGTTGGTTGTGATAAAATCTTCTACTGTTTTTCTTTGTGGTTGTGCAACTTTCTATTTTTTTCTTTCTGGTGATACAACTGTCTTATTTATTTTTCTTCTTTGTGGTGTACACATTTCTAGTGTTTCATTTTTGTGGTGATACAACCTTGTACTTTTTGTCTTTGTGGTGGTACAACTTACTCATGTTTTTCCTTGTAGTGAACCAACTTTCTATTGTTTTCTTTGTGGTGATACAACTATCTATTGTTTTCTGTATGTTGATAAAGCCTTTTGCTGTTTTTCTTTGTGGTGTTACAACTTTCTGTTGTTTTTCTGTGGTGATACCACTATCTATTGTCTTTATTTGTTTTACAGCATGCTTGTCAGGAATCAGTGGGTCTGTTCTTTGATTCCCCCCCCCCCCCCCCCCCCCCCCCCCTCCCAATGTTGACCTGGAACCCACACATAGAAAAAAGTGGGAATACACATTTTTCCTGTTTCTGTGGGTAGTGTACAGGTGTACTGTTTTCTCTGGGTGGCTGAAGAACTTTTGCTGTTTCTCTGTGTGGCGGTTGTATGTGTTAACTGTTTTTCTTGATGGCAATATAACTTCTGTTTCTCTGTGTGGTGGTTGTATGTATTTACTGTTTTTCTTGATGGCAATATAACTTCTGTTTCTCTGAGTAGTGATACGACTTATTCTTGTCCGATTGGCAATACAATTGTTCTTTTTTTCCCCTCCCTTTCAGGTTGTTCGTGCTATCTGCATCTTGAATCATCCGATTGATAACATAAGGGGTGCACAGTCGGTTCAGATCATCATTCCCCAGAACCAGGTTAACAGAAATGACGGTAAAATAATCATTTTTCCATGTACGGGAATAGTAGTTTGGAGGGTTTTGTGCAGAAGAAAGAAAGAAGTATTGCACGTAAACATAAAAGCTATAAATAGCTATAATTAATAGCAAGATTTTACATATATTTTTAATTAAAAGCATTTTTATCCCTTTCTGAATTTATTTATTAGGGGAAAAACTGTATTGCTTTGTGTATTTCACTGTGTCCTATACTGTCCTAGTAAATATAGGATCCCTTATCATGCCTTCCGTTGTATTGGACATTTAATACTAGGCCTATATTTTATAGACAAATAGGCACTCGGTGGGGTGATGTGAACAACAACACGCTGGCCACCCTTACTTCCCGGGACTTTACCTGGTACCCATTTAAGGCTGGGTCGAGCCAAGGTCATTTGAAAAAAAAACAAGTCTAGCTCTCTCAGGACCTGAGCTCACCGCCTGTGAACCCTCAAGGGAGCATCTAGCTGCTACTACCACACCATCCTAAAAAGTTGTAAATGCAAGCGGTAAATGCAGTTGTTTTCCGAATAATAAAGAGAAATTCAAGTACTAAATGCAGTTGTTTTCCTCATAATAAAAAGAAATTCAAGTAGTAAATGCAGTTGTTTTCTTCATATTAAAGGAAAATTCAAGCAGTAAATGCAGTTGTTTTCTTCATAATAAAGGGAAATTCAAGCAAATGCAGTTGTTTTCCTCATAATAAAAAGAAATTCAAGTAGTAAATGCAGTTGTTTTCTTCATAATAAAGAGAAATTCAAGTGGTAGATGCAGTTGTTTCTTTATAATAAAGGGAAATTTGAGTAGTAAATGCAGTTGTTTTCCTAATAGTAAAGGGAAATTCAAGTAGTAAGTGCAGTTGTTTTCTTCATAATAAAGATAAATTCAAGCAGTAAATACAGTTGTTTTCCTAATAATAAAAAGAAATTCAAGCAGTAAATAGTTTTCCGAATAATAAAGAGAAATTCAAGTAGTAAATGCAGTTGTTTTCCCTCATAATAAAGGGAAATTCAAGCAGTAAATAGTTTTCCGAATAATAAAAAGAAATTCAAGTAGTAAATGCAGTTGTTTTCTTCATAATGAAGGGAAATTTAAACAGTAAATGCAGTTGTTTTCCTAATAATAAAAGGACAAAACGTACCCATTTATCTAAAATGTACAAATATGAATATGATATTTTTGTAGTAAATATATGCACGCGTACAACTCCTGCTCAGGATGAGAAAAATTCCCTAGACCAGTGTTTCCCAAACTTGTCTTGATCGAGGTGGCGCCCATTTCAATTAAAATTTTGCCATGGCGCCCTAGCCTAAGTAAAAGTATGACTATTTGTGTCTTGGTTCAATTTATTATGAAGCTTTTACAGCGCACAGTTTGGGAATCACTGCCCTAGACACGTATTTGTCTCTTTCACAGATATATACGTGTGCATGGTTTCTTCCACTCACAATGTCTGCCCACAAAATTACTATCTGGCAATTGTAGCCACAACTGTAGAGACAAACAACCCGGAAGCAGAACTGCAGCCTGGCCTAGAGTTGCTGGGAACTATTGAAGAAAAGTAAGTAGACTTTCTCTGCTGTTTTTTCTTTACAGCTGTGAAATAGCGATTTGTGTTGTCTTGAAGAAACAGTCAGTTTTGCATTTAGTTTACAGAGAACAGTAGAATAATCAGTCTCCCTGTTTAGGCTATGTAGAGCAACGAGATAATGTTTAGGCTTTGTAGAGCAGCGAGATAATGTTTAGGCTTTGTAGAGCGACAAGATAATGTTTAGGCTTTGTAGAGCAGTGATATAATGTTTAGGCTTTGTAGAGCGATAAGATAATGTTTAGGCTTTGTAGAGCAGCGAGATAATGTTTAGGCTTTGTAGAGCGACAAGATAATGTTTAGGCTTTGTAGAGCAGTGATATAATGTTTAGGCTTTGTAGAGTGATAAGATAATGTTTAGGCTTTGTAGAGTGATAAGATAATGTTTAGGCTTTGTAGAACAGCGACAAGATGTTTAGGCTTTGTAGAACAGCGAGATAATGTTTAGGCTTTGTAGAGTGACAAGATAATGTTTAGGCTTTGTAGAGCAGTGATATAATGTTTAGGCTTTGTAGAGCAGTGAGATAATGTTTAGGCTTTGTAGAGCAGGGAGATAATGTTTAGGCTTTGTAGAGCAGCGAGATAATGTTTAGGCTTTGTAGAGCAGCGAGATAATGTTTAGGCTTTGTAGATCAACGAGATAATGTTTAGGCTTTGTAGAGCAACGAGATAATGTTTAGGCTTTGTAGAGCGACAAGATGTTTAGGCTTTGTAGAGCAGCGAGATAATGTTTAGGCTTTGTAGAGCGACAAGATAATGTTTAGGCTTCGTAGAGCAGCGAGATAATGTTTAGGCTTCGTAGAGCGACAAGATAATGTTTAGGCTTTGTAGAGTGGCAAGATAATGTTAAGGCTTCGTAGAGCGACAAGATAATGTTTAGGCTTTGTAGAGCAACAAGATAATGTTTAGGCTTTGAAGAGCAGCAAGATAATGTTTAGGCTTTGGAGAGCGACAAGATAATGTTTAGGCTTTGGAGAGTGATGAGGTAGTCGGGTTTGATTGTTTAATTCTCAAGGACTTAAGCAGGAGGAGATTGGAGCTCCTTTAGATCTGTTCGTAGTGCTGTGCTAAATGACTTCTGCATTTATTCTTGTAGGATCAGTATAATAATAGGATTAATAGAATTGTCCACTTACATTTTATCTTGGGGGATCAATAATGTTAACATTATGTTTTTGTTTAGTCTTCTAGAATCAGCGGTCAGAGAGGGAGATATATTTTGTTTAGACCAGTTAGCACCTTGATGGGTAGGAGTGTCATTATCTTGCTAACCAGTTAGCACCTTGATGGGTAGGGATGTCATTATCTTGCTGACCAGTTAGCACCTTGATGGGTCGTGATGTCATTATCTTGCTGACCAGTTAGCACCTTGATGGGTAGTGATGTCATTATCTTGCTGACCAGTTAGCACCTTGATGGGTAGTAATGTCATTATCTTGCTGACCAGTTAGCACCTTGATGGGTAGTGATGTCATTATCTTGCTGACCAGTTAGCACCTTGATGGGTAATGATGTCATTATCTTACTGACCAATTAGCACCTTGATGGGTAGGGATGTCATTATCTTGCTGACCAGTTAGCACCTTGATGGGTAGTGATGTCATTATCTTACTGACCAATTAGCACCTTGATGGGTAGGGATGTCATTATCTTGCTGACCACTTAGCACCTTGATGGGTAGGGATGTCATTATCTTGCTGACCAGTTAGCACCTTGATGGGTAATGATGTCATTACCTTGCTGACCAGTTAGCACCTTGATGGGTAGGGATCTCATTATCTTGCTAACCAGTTAGCACCTTGATGGGTAGTGATGTCATTATCTTGCTGACCAGTTAGCACCTTGATGGGTACGGATGTCATTATCTTGCTAACCAGTTAGCACCTTGATGGGTAGTGATGTCATTATCTTGCTGACCAGTTAGCACCTTGATGGGTAGGGATGTCATTATCTTGCTGACCAGTTAGCACCTTGATGGGTAGGGATGTCATTATCTTGCTGACCAGTTAGCACCTTGATGGGTAGGGATGTCATTATCTTGCTGACCAGTTAGCACCTTAATGGGTAGGGATGTCATTATCCTGCTGACCAGTTAGTACCTTGATGGGTAGGGATGTCATTGTCTTGCTGACCAGTTAGCACCTTGATGGGTAGTGATGTCATTATCTTGCTGACCAGTTAGCACCTTGATGGGTAGTGATGTCATTATCTTGCTGACCAGTTAGCACCTTGATGGGTAGTGATTTCATTATCTTGCTGACCAGTTAGCACCTTGATGGGTAGTGATTATCTTGCTGTCAGTGAAAAGTTATTTGTATCTGCAAGAGACTATCTGTAAGTGTAATGAGCTATCTGCAAGGAGTTATCTGTAACTGTAAGGAGTTATCTGCAACTGTCAGGAGTTATTATCTGCAACTGTCAGGAGTTATTATTTGCAACTGTCAGGAGTTATCTGTAACTAAGAGATTATCGGTGACTGTAAGGAATTTTCTGTAACTGTAAGGTGTTGTCTGTAACTCTAATTTAATTTATTATTTGTAAATAAGAGACTATATGTAACTATGAGAGATTTATCTGTACTTGCGAAAGATTTTTTCTTATAGGCTGTCTATAATAACAAGAGAACTATCTATAACATTGTGAGATCACGTGTGTTATTTTGCCTGTTTTTCAGGTTTGTTAGTGTGGTAGACCTCTTTGAGCCAGAGGATGATGGGAAAGACAGCAAGGTAATTGTTTTTGTTATTTCATATAATTTTTCTTTAGTAGAAAAAAAATAGAAGTAGTGAGAAATGGGGTGTTAAAGTCCCATCCTGAACTTGTATCCATGTATGTGAGCAACGGACAGTAGGCAAAGTTGGTAAAAATTCATTACAATTAGAGAAATGGTTTCTGGAAAATGCAAGGAAAACCATAGACGGAAAGCGAAAAATTAATCAGGCAGCCGTCCGAGAAACTTGGGAAATTTATCAAAGTTTAGAGAAATTTGACATAGCTAGACAGAAATTTGTGGCTGTGTTCTGAGTAAACTAGAAAACCTAGCGAAAGATGACAAACTTGATGGCAAAATAATAAGAGGGATCCTTGTGTGGATTCCAGCGCCTGGTTTGGAAAATTGGGAGCGGGGGGAACCTACTATCTTTCTAACAAGCAGGTGGCAAGAGGCTGCCAGTTGAAGGTTTGTTGAAATTGGATGTGTTGGGCCAAGCAGCGCAGAGATCACAGCCTAGTTGTAAGCCACAACACAGTTTGAGCCACCTGAGTACTAACAGTGGTGGATTTTTTTGTTTGTTTAATGACCTTGGCTTCCAGGTCAACCCAGCCTTAACTCTTTGAGTCCCAAGGAACGCATCATACGTTCATAGGTTCCTACCTAAAACCCCAATAAACGCATGATGCGCCGATTTTATGACTCTATTTACTACCCCATGGGCTTGTGATGCTAAACCCCCTGGGACTCAAAGAGTTAAATGGGTACTAGGTAAAAGTCTTGGGAAGTAAAGGTGGCCGGCAATGCTGACCACACCACCCATTAACTGCTGATTGGTCTATAAAACATTGCATTGTAGTTTACAGCTAGGCTGTGGTCTATAAAATATAGGTCTAGCCCTATATGCCCAGTATGCCGAAGGCATGGAACAGTGTCATCTTTGACAGAGACAGCATTTTAGATGGCGGTAAACTTTGAAGACATCATAGTCTGCATGTCACTGACCTATCGAAGATAACTTGCTGAGTTCTTATGTACATTCAGAACAGCTTCTTCCTTTTTCTCCTCCGTTCACCCTTAAAGGGTGGTTAGCACCTTGTAGTGTTGTTCACAGCTAGGCTGCGCATTCAGCAATCCCCTAATTAATCACCTTTTGCAACATACTTGCTAAGATGGCAGTGCTCCCCCCCCCCCCCCCCCAAATGTAATCCTAGAATCCTGAAAGAGAGGAGTGGCAACAACCATCTAGGCCAGGGCTATACAACTAAGTTTACTCAGGAGCCCCAGCATAGAAAGGTCATCAATGCTATACAGCTAGCAGTGATCCGTGGGCCAAATGGGATGCCTGTGCCACCGGTTGAATAGCCCTGAACTAGGCAGTTTGTTATGTGATCTGAAATTCCAATGAAATCTTAAGTCTGGTTTGTGGTTGTCTGCTTCACAGATTATTAAATGGATACACATTTTGTTTAAATATTTTTTTAGATAAAAAAACAAACCTTGACAATTTGTTAATGCTCTTATATATTGTTTTTTAAACAGATTTTCATAACCAAGTCTTACGATGCCACCTCTCATTTTGAAACCACTTGTGACGATGTGTTGAAAACCTACGAGCGCATCACCGGAGCCCCCTTTGACTTCAGCAAGGTGAAGCACACAGAAGTGGACTCGGTTGGAGAGTAACTGTGTGGCCTGGCCCGCACAAATTGTAGAATATTCTCGTACTTGTACTTGCAATGCTGATTGTATTTTCTGTGTCGTCAGATTATGTTTATAGTTGTGAACTGTGGGCATATGAAGGGGGTTAGGGTGTTTAAAAACACTCAGTAGGCTTGTGAGGATTCTTTCATTGCTAATTTTTTTTTTTTAAATTATTTTTCCCAATCAGTGAATTTTAATATTTGTTCATCGAGTATCTGTATCCCTGTGTCATTCCTGCTGTCTTCTGTTTCTCATTATGTATCAGAACCACAGAAATCTTTCTGTTCAGTAGATGGCATGTACCACAAAGCATTCTATGATGGTAATATCGGTTGAGACAGGTAGACACAGGGCAACATCTTCCTGATCAGTAGTTAACCTACCTTGGAAGTCAGAGTGTATCTCCCTGAGAGGCCAGGAATCAACAGTCTGCACACACAAGTAAGCCAGATCAGGTGCGCCTGCAAAAAATAAGTTCTGGATTATGACCAAAGTCCAAAAATTGACATGAACCTGGACTTTCTGCAGTTTGCAGCCTGTGAACATGAAGATTTACAGCCTGTGAACATGAAGGTTTACAGCCTGTGAACATGAAGGTTTACAGCCTGTGAACATGAAGGTTTACAGCCTGTGAACATGAAGGTTTACAGCCTGTGAACATGAAGGTTTACAGCCTGTGAACATGAAGGTTTACAGCCTGTGAACATGAAGGTTTTACAGCCTGTGAACATGAAGGTTTTACAGCCTGTGAACATGAAGGTTTACAGCCTGTGAACATGAAGATTTACAGCCTGTGAACATGAAGGTTTACAGCCTGTGAACATGAAGGTTTACAGCCTGTGAACATGAAGGTTTACAGCCTGTGAACATGAAGGTTTACAGCCTGTGAACATGAAGGTTTACAGCCTGTGAACATGAAGACAAAGAAGTTGACGTATTGGCTGAATAGTTTGTCAGTTGGTAGTAGTTGAGACAAGCTAGAATGGTTGTTATGTTCTGCTGATTGGAAGAATACCTACAGGAACAGTTTAACCAATACACCAAGGATGAGACCAAACTGAAAAACATCAAAGAGCTTCCCATTATGTTCTTGCTTTTTTCCATGCAAGAACACCTAGGATTGAGTGCTAATGGGTTAGTTTCTGGGGAAGTAACTTCAGTACAGCACGAATTGTGAATATCAAGTTCCACAGAGGGGATGGAGAAAGACCGGCTTTCTATTCAGTCAAGAATTTGTATTGTGACAAATTACTTGACATGAGATCAATCATGTCTGGAGTAGATGTCCTGCCAAAGTCACAAGTTACCAAAGACGATCAGAAATAAAATATTTAAAAAAAAAATCATAGTCTGTTTAAACAGCCACTGATCACTGGCATCATGACTAATAGACTGAAATTGCTTAGACATTATGAGAGAATGTCAGGTGACAGAGGTAAATACACAAGAGAGCTGAATAGTAGTAGGTCATGGGGCAGACCAAGAAGACGATGTAGAGATAATATCCAGACAGACCTACAAACACTTGGTGTAACCAACTCGAAAGAGGCCAACCAGAGAGATAAATGGAGGTCTGCTACAGTGAACCTCAAGAGCTCGGAGTGCTGAAGAAGAAGAAAAAGTAAAACTGAAGCAGAAGAGTTTAAATAATAACTAGAACAGTATAGAAGACTATAATGTCTGACTTTGGAACAGCAAGCTTTACATGTGTGAGTTAACTGATAAAGAGAAAATTATCAATAAAGGGGCACAAATACATCTTGTACCATCTTTTTGTGTTAAAATACTGTCCCCTGGTTGCTCAGCTTGGCTGATGTTAAAACAACTGTGTTTGTCAGTGGCCTGTATTGCAATAGAATGTGATTTAGACACCTTGTCAATTTTTGTTTTGTGTAAATTCCCCCCGTTTTTTTTTTTTTTCAATTATTATTGTACTTATTGACATGCCTGTTTGTAACAGCTACTGGTGATTTCTATTTTTGGATGCATTTTTATTTCTCTTTATTTCACTTTTGGGTTTTGTTTTAGCTGCAGTTTTTCCTGTTGTTATTGTGATGTGCAAGGAGAAGGCATTGAATTTCATTCCAGTCATGCAACATAGACACCACAAAGTTGGCCACCATTAACTACATGAAGAATATCTAGGAGCTACAGAACATTTGCAGACATGAACTCTTTGATCACCATTTCTTTTGACCTTTGTTTGAATGTCCCATATGAGAGCTCCTGACAAGAACATTTCAAAGTGTGCACCATCTTGCCGGGAGTCTCTGTGGCAGAGCGGCTAGATGCTCGCCGCTGATCGTAAGGTCGTCGGTTCGCTCCCTGGTGGAGCCGGACTTTTAAAATAAAATGACCTTGGCTCCTAAGTCGACCCAGTCTTGACTGGGTACCGGGTGCAGTCCCGGGAGGTAGAGGCGGCCGGCGTGATGCTGACCACATCACCCATCTTGTGCGGATGGGTCTATTAAAAATATAGGTTTAGCCCGAATGCCCTATATATATGTATATGCTCTAAAGGCGGGGAAAGAGGCTCTTTACTTTTTACTTACCATCTTGCCATGACTGTTCATCATCTCAGTTGTCTGTAATTTATTCATTAGTTAATCTTTACAGACCAGGTGCTTTACTGAACATTGCCGTCATCACTGGGAAGTGTTGATATTTCATCAGTTGCCTTCCTGTATAGACCATTCTGCTCAAGGTTTCTCTAATGGCATATATCCTCCTTGTGTTGCTTCACGGTTACCTCTTCTTCTTCTGGAGATGATGCCTGATGTTGCTTTTTTTTTTAAAGCCCCTGTGATTTTTAATGTGACCAAAGTGTTTCCGTTTCTGAACCATGATGCTGTTTAAAAGATAATTTTCTTGGATTTTCACACCTTAAAGAATGTCAGTATTTTTGTTTCTTCTTCATCCATGTTATTCTAAGAACATCTTAACTCAAAAGCCCAGATATTTTTGTTTAATGATTGCAGTCATTAGTAATCTTGGCTTTTCTCAAGGTTTTCCAGCACCCAAATCGGCCCTTGTAAAATAAACAGATTAGATATATTAATTTTTGCACAGCTGGGTTTTCTGAATTGATTCAACACTCTGGCCAAAGTTGTAGATTCTCTTTCTGCCTCAGCAGATGTGTGGCCAGTAAAATACCGTGGCCACCCTAAAACTCATGCTCCTGGAATATGTTGTTTCATCTGTGATCTCTTCAGCTGATTGTTGCTGAAAGATAGCCATCAGAAGGCCAGCCTTATCCAATAGTTTCCCAGTCACTGGTGCTTTTTCAAGTCAACAGATTCTCAAATGTGCTGCCTTTCATTCCAGCATAGCCTGAACAATTACAAGTCTGCAAGTCCTAAGTGGGATGTGCAGACATCTTTGTTTACCACTTTCCCAACTTTTATTTCACTCATTCTGTCCAGAAAATCTCACAGCATGTGCCCGAGAGGGAGGGGAGTAGCCACATGGTGGCTTTCATAAGTACTAGCGTTTACATATCTGCTAAATGAAATGTAGACCAACCATTCATAAAAAATGTAATGCATGAAGCATGATTGAAATACACAGGGAAGAACCAATCAGATTGTGTGTTACTTTTGACTAGAACAATTTCAAAGAAAAGTAGCTATTGGGTAATATTTGAAGCCTCTGAACGGTTTCAGTTGTGATCACTGTCCTCTCACATCCTCTGCTTTCTCAAGGCTGCTCTGACCCAAATACAGTGCAGACCTGTAAAGAACTCAGTGGGGGCCCAAGAAATTGCTCTTTCTCTTTGTTTCCTAAAGTCCGTGTCTTGTGGCATTGGAAGTCTACCCACAATATTTTTGTCTCATTTAGTTTTAGTAAACTCTTGGCACAGAAGATCCTCTATGCCGTGATTTTAGACTGTCCAGTATCTTCTCTTTCTGTCTCTCTCTGCCTCTCCTTTCCTCTAACTTTCTCACTGTCTAGTGTTCTCCTTCTCATGACATGACCAAAGAAGGTGGATTGTCTGCTTATGATGTGGGCATCAATTCTACTCTTATCTATACAAGAATTCAAGCAACAACAACAAAAATTGCCAGGAATAAACAAATTGTTCTTCACAACATAAATTCACCATAGTAGGAGATCGCTTTCAGTGGTCTGCACTATATCAGGATCTTGAGATCAGGCAGCTCATATGGTCTTCCATGGCACCAAGCTTGTCAGTGTAATTTCAGGCTATCAAATGACCAATGGAACATTCTAGATGCAGTCGGGTAGGAAGTAAAGGACCTTTTCATGCGAGTGGTGCATTTGACATATGATGTTAGACTCATAATTTTGTAGATCAGTGAGTACCCATTGATGATGTGGTCACCATCACCTCAATTGTCTTTACCTGATACCCATTCTGGCTGCCCAAAAATTTTTTTTTATCAGCTTGCTAAGGAATTTAATTTGAACCCAAGACCTTTAGGCCAGTAGGGGAGAATCTAGCTGCCCCTACCGTGGCTCCCTGAGTAGGAGGTAGCTATCTGTAAAGTAAGTTTTTCCCCGTTCTGGTATTTCCCGAAAGTCAAGTTATTTTAGCCACGTAAAACTTCATGGTCTCCTGGAGTGAACGGCGATGGAGGCTACAGTTTCTACACACACACACACACACACACACACACGCACGCACGCACACACACACACGCACGCACACACACGCACACACACACACACACACACACACACACAACACAAGATTCACTTCTGCAGATATGGATACAGGACATTGAAGATGCATCAGCGACTAAATTTCCACTATATTTGATAGACCAAACGGCCCTTGGTGGGTGATGTGGTCAGCATCATCTCAGCCGACTTTATTTCCCAGGACTGCACCTGGTACCCACTCAAGGCTGGGAACCAAGGTCATTTTTGAAAAACATCCTAACCTTATCAGGAACCAAATCCACAAATTTCCGATCGGCAGGCAAGCGTCTAGCTGCTAGACCACACGGCTCCTTAGTCAC